GGTCCCTCCTTGGGCCCCTCCGACCCTCACTCTCTCTCCCGGTCCCTCCTCGGGCCCCTCCGACCCTCACTCTCTCTCCCTGTCCCTCCTTGGGCCCCTCCGACCCTCACTCTCTCTCCCGGTCCCTCCTCGGGCCCCTCCGACCCTCACTCTCTCTCCCTGTCCCTCCTCGGGCCCCTCCGACCCTCACTCTCTCTCCCTGTCCCTCCTCGGGCCCCTCCGACCCTCACTCTCTCTCCCGGTCCCTCCTTGGGCCCCTCCGACCCTCACTCTCGCTCCCTGTCCCTCCTTGGGCCCCTCCGACCCTCACTCTCTCTCCCTGTCCCTCCTCGGGCCCCTCTGACCCTCACTCTCTCTCCCGGTCCCTCCTTGGGGCCCCTCCGACCCTCACTCTCGCTCCCATCGCACCTGCAGCCGCGGCTTGTTTTTCGGGCAACGGAGCAGCAGGTCATTGGTGACGGAGCGTTTGAACCTGTGTCCACTTAGCCGCGAGCTGACTGTGTAATTGGAAATCCAGCGTGTTTACAGGGGCTGGAGGCCAGGCTGTGTGCGGGTGGGGGTGGGGGCTGCCTCACGCCCCAGCTCGGCAGCCACAAAGGGCAGGAGCCACGCGTCCTCCCTTCCTCCCACCAGCACGCCTGCCGGTCACAGCCCTGGTGCAGCCATGAGCTTGGAGTCAGCCTCCCGCTCCGCCCGGTCAGGCCTGGCCCCCCCCAGACGCCTGCCACCCGTGGGAGAGGAGGGGTGAGCACAGCTCCCGGCTCCCATGGCTCCCAGGCCCACGGTGGAGGGGAGCGGTCAGTGCCGACTGGCACCGTGGTGACCATGACGGTACCTGAACCCGCGGAGCTGCCTCCTGACCGAGGGGTGGGAGCCAGGGGCTGCCCTGCCCAGGCCCCTGCCTCCACCTCCAAACGGGGTGCTGAGCACACGACAGCGATGAGGATGCTGGGCCCCCACCTCACGGAGGTATCTGAACACACAGCGCTTAACCAGGCACGTGGCGTGGGCACCGGCGTCGCTGTCAGCGCGAGCCCTGGACCCCGAGGCCGGCTGGGGGCGAACCAGTGCTGGTGACTCTGCAACTTGATGTCTGAGGATGAGCCGCAGCCTCCACAGACGAACAGACGGACGGACGGACGGACAGACGGCTCAGGGTCTCACAGAAGCGGGGCGGGGTGAGCGGCCAAGGAGCACATACCTGCGCTGGAATCCCAGCTCAGCTGCCACAGCCCTCGGGCACCTCTTCATCCCTCTGAGCCTGTTTCTTCATCTGTCAAATGGGGTCCATAACCCCCAGCTCCCAAGGTGATGAGAAGATTTCCATGAGCCAAGCACGAGTGGCCCCACCCATCGCCCAGCCTCCCCCTCAGGCTGGGGGCTCACAGCCAATCGCATTAGGTCAGACAGAGGTGCTCCTGGCCCTTCCTGCTGCTTCCGAGTTGGCTCCGCCTCCAGGCCGCAGGCAGGGAAAGGCTGGGTGCTGCCCCGCACAGCCGCCCCCCCCAGGCGCTCACAGGCAGGACCTGGGCCGCAGGCAGGGAAAGGCTGGGTGCTGCCCGCACAGCCACCCCCCCAGGCGCTCACAGGCAGGACCTGGGCCGCAGGCAGGGAAAGGCTGGGTGCTGCCCGCACAGCCGGCCCCAGGCGCTCACAGGCAGGACCTGGGCCGCAGGCAGGTAGCCAGGTGCCTCTCTTGGTTCTTGCTTCTGACCTCGGCATCGTTTCAGGATGGAGGTCCCCCCACCGCCCAATTCCAGGCCCCTCCCCGGGGTCCCTGCCCCAGCCCCTCCCCGCCGGCCCCGGAGCAGAAGATAAAGGAAGGCCACGACTCTCAGACACATCTATCTTTATTTGTTTCCTGTCAGAAAAGTTCAAGAATTACACAAAAAATACTCAGCCTCTGCTACCTACTGACAAAAATACACCACAAAGTTAGAAAGCGCTCAGCGGCTGGGCTAGGGACGGCTTTTCATGGGCTGTGGATGACGCATGGAGGTGGTGACCTTCGGCCGGGCAGAGGGGGGGAGGGCCAGACGGTGGCCTTGGTGGCCTTGGCGGGACGTCGGGAGCCGCTGCTCTCGGCCCAGCTGCTGTGCACAATGACACAATGACGGCCGCACAGCAGCCACCCAGGCCCTGGCATGGCCGTCAGAGCTCCGTGGGGAAACCTCATCTCAAACCACACCTCCCGGCCTGCAGCCCAGGCCCGCAGAGTGGGCCTCCCAGAGTGTTTGTGGGCGCACCGTGGGTGCGAGGGGGTTCAGGGCCGGGTGGGACGGGCTGAGGCCGGTGCCGCCTCCTTGTCAGGAGCATCTAAACCAGCTCGGGGGTGGACGGATGTCCCTTCGACACCCGCGTGGGCAGGAGACCCGAATGTGCGCCTCCTTCAGAACCAGCTCGCTTCGCTGCGGCCCCCGCCT